TAAACAACGAAATGTTTGAATATGTATAGATTTTAATAATTATTTAGTGATATTTCAGCTAAATCAGTGTTGTACAAATGACATGTAAACAAACCGACTGACGTTTTTACAGGAAATAGTGCTTTTTGCGTTCCTATGCACTTCTGCATCTGTTCTCCTTTTACTCTCATTTGAGAGAGTAAAATTGTAGTTTGACAGTTCCACAGGTTTTAGTCCGAAGTTCAAAGGAACAGACTAATAATTAGGAAGAAAAAAAATAAACAAAATTTAGCTGCAGCAGCTGCTTTTACATGAATGCTGCAATATACAAATATACGTATGCAACAGTATTTGAAATGAATTCCTTGCAAACATGGCTCTAAAGTAAGTTCAATAAGAGTCGAAGAATAAGTTCAATAAGACTTACAGAACAGCATAAAAAAAGACTCCGAAAGTAGGCATTTATGAGGCCAATAAGAGTTATTAAAGAGCTTCAAAAAGAGTCCAAAATGAACTGTATATGAGGCCAATAAGAGTCCAATATGACTCATATTGAAGCTCATTTGATGTATGAATTTAAGCTCGTGTAGGTCGACCTTCGCAGGAAGGGAAACACCCTCATATCGGACTCTTAAATGATATCATTATGAGCGTAAAGGCTCGGAAATGGGACTCCTTAAATATTCATTTATGACTCCAAATGTTTGCTGGTGAGATTTCAAAACGAAAATTTAACTGTATTGGAGTTTAGGGTAAATTGTTCTGGTAGGGATAGGGACATACATATCGTTACCTTAATATAGAAACAAGTTTCTTCGAATTTTTGGGTTTTAATAAACACTGAAGCTAATTTTTGACTTTAGTAGATGTTTTCAAATTCCTTTAGTGAGTAATCTACCGACCTTTGAATTTCGAAATTTTGTGGGATACATTTCCTGAATTCCGGAATTTTCCTGAGCTTTGCCCAAAGTTTAGAGATTTTGTTTTTATATTTTTTTGGTGAGGTGTGAACTACATATTTTTATTAAAAAATATTGAGAATAAAATAAAATAAAAAACTTTGCATATATTGCGAAAAATTCTCTGTGCCAATATTTTTGTCCGGCACTGTATGTATATATATATATATATATATTTTTTTTTTGCAAACACATTCCGCCAGATAGATTAGATTCATATCGTCGATGCCTTTGCAAATCCACCGTTTGAACTCTTTCTTGTGGTATTCAAATCCTACAGGAGCGAAAAAACTGATTTTTTTATGGCGTTGAATTAATAGACGGTATTTTATCTAACTGTTATTTAACAAATATTTTGTCATAAAAACGATTTTACGAGGCATGGAGCTCGATGCCTGGAGTTCAGGGTTACCAGGGTCGGTTTGGCAATTGGTCTATGGGCGTTTTTGCAAAAGGGCAAAAGGCAAAGTCATATGCACAAGATCCTGAAGAGTCCTAATATTTTTTTATACTAACTTAAATTTCGTTCCACAAAAAAAAATTAATTCAACAAGGATTAAACGATAGAGATAGCTTTAAACTCTTGTCAACTAAACACTGTGAATATAAAAATCAATAGTTAAACCCTTGTCACTCGTTAACTACGCACTGTGAACTTGGCCCTAAGTGGGCCAATAATTTTGTGCGATGAAAGTCTGCCAGTTTTTTTTTTGCTAAATTAGTTCCAAAGGAGCAACTAAAAACTTATTATGGCGTTGGGTGTTTAACGTAATAAGAAATTTCCCACAAACCAACGCCCCTCCCCAACAAAAAAAGAAATTCTGGATCCGCCGCTGCTTACATTTGATACATAGCTACTAAAAAACTCTATATAAGGAAAATGATTTTCATCGAAATTGTTTTTTTTTGTACTGAAATATTAAAAATTCTTCATATTTTCATAAATACTTACTTTTCCACAGACTTTGTACATTGATTATCTGTGCTCAATCCACCAATCGCGTATATATTTCCATTCAATAGTACAACAGTTAAAAAATATCTTGACTGAATCATTGAAGGCAATGTATTCCACGATTTCGTTTTTAAGCTCCAGCTTTCAACACCGCTAGTTATTTTGCCATCTCGTACACCACCAATGTAAATAATATTGTCTTCCATAAGAACCATGCCGTATCTGTTTGCATCATGTTCGAATTCAGCGTAGTTTTGCCATTCATCCTCAGGTTGGTTATATTGAAAAATTGTACCTTTACAGTCCTGCATTATAATTATATGTATTTTAAGAATTAATTTTTGCAGTAAAAGCACTTATGATTGTATTTAAAAAATAACCATAAAAAGAAGAGTTCGAATGTATTTGAAATTATATAAAAATATAAGGGGCATGTCCGAATACCCATTTCCATTTTGATTCAAATAAGATATCTAAAGCCCATTTCATGTAATTTTAAACGCAGTCTGGCGATTTTCACAAATTCAAAATGGCGGATAACAAATAAAACAAAACTCCAAAAACTCTAAAAAGATTGAACGATAAACTCTGAGTCAAAGTTTTTACGCATAGGCCACTTTTATTATGAGTTGCATTCGATCTTCGACTGTGGTCGAAAGTGCTGATCGAACGAATTTTAATTTTTGTTATTATGACGCTCATTTGATGAAGAATAGCGCCATTGTATTTTTCGCTTGTTTGAGTTGTACTCAAAAGTGCATATGTTTATATATAATATATATTTATGTATTTCTATCCATTTTGTTTGAAATTTTTCTATTTATATAATTTTTTTATAATCTATATACAGTGCCGGACAAAAGTATTGACACATTGAATTTTTCGCAATATAAGCAAAGTTTTTTATTCTAATTTATTTTCAATGATTTTTTATAAAAAACTAGTTCATTCTACTACAAAGAAACATAAAAATAAAAACTCGTAAAATTTCGAAAATTCAATAAATTTCGATACTAATTTGAAACTTTCTATTGAGATTTTTTGAAAAATTTTAAGTATGCATTTTTATAGCCCATTAAAATCTAGAGTAACAAAGGGCGAGTTTTAAGTAGCTAGAAAATCGCGCTGATTTTTAGCAATTTTTTTGGTGGAAGGTCTTTAATACTTTTCTGCGGCACTGTATGTATATAATGCGCGAAGCAATTTTTTGTACAGGTCATCAGATCTGTACCGTTCGTTCGGTTTTCAAAAATGAGGTGTCAATTTAAAGGGCTTGACCTTTAGATGTGCAATAAGTTTTTATTTTTCGAAAAGAGTTGCCCCCTGTTAAAAAATTTAACTCAAATTATTTAATTAAATTATTTAATAATTTTGAAAAATGAGGTGTAAGATTAAAAGGCTTGGGCTGTAGATGTGCCGTGATGTTTTAGATTTTCGAAAATAGTTGCCACCCTTTCAAAAATAAGGTTTAAATTATTTAAAAAGTTAAATGGGTTATTGCAATATTGGTATCAAAAAAATGGTTTTGAAAATGCTTTATTTCTTAAGTACATGTAGGAGGGTTGCCTCCTGTTAAAAAAAAAAAATAGTTAAATCCGATTTGAACTCAGGTAATTTAAATATTTAGCACCATATGGGTGATAGACGTAAGAACGTAGTACTTGAAAATATTTTGAAAAGCGTTGCAACCTTTTTAAAAGTCGAATTTCGTTAACTTATACGCAAGTTAAAATATGGGTATCAAACTCAAATTCAACTAATTTCATCAGTTAAAAAAGATTTAAAAAGATTATAGTTTCAAACTACCTTTAAAGAGGGTTACCAACTGATTGAAAAGTCGAATTTGTTTAACTTATAAAATATGATTTTCAAACGAAAATGTTAAGAAGTCTTTAGTTTGAACATTTGGTATGTTTTGAGGCTTTCGGTTTAAAAATATGAATTCAAATTTTTTAATAAGTGAAATTTATAATAAGAAGATGGTTGTTAATAGAACTGAGTTTAAAATATATTAATTACTGGACTGTAAATAGGAGAGTTGTAACGTGTTTAAAAAATCGAATGCAACTTAATTCATCAGTTAATTGTTATATGTGTCACAATGTCAAACGAAAGAGATTTAAAATAAATAATAAGTTTGAAATTACTTTTAAAGAGGGTTGCCACTTATTTGAAAGTCGTATTTTTTAACTTATACACAAGTCAAATGAAATATTAAAAAATGAATTTCCAGCCATCTTTTGTTAGAAAATTTCATTGATTAGGGTTGCCACTAATTCGAAGAGAATTACTAGGTGTATATGCAAATATCAGGGATATTGCGAATATTTGCATTCACATTCGTTATGCAATTGATTCGCATCATTTTACACATTCGCTTTCGACATTCGCATTCGCATCAAATGATACGAATGTTTTGCGAATGCGAATGTGTACATGGGCAGAGAGTCCACTCTAAGTCTGTCTAACCAGGGTGCGGACAATAACCGACTTTTAGCTTCAGGCACTATACGGTTAAGTAGTATACCATGCAAAATTGATGGGCCTTCAACAAGTACTGCTAAAAGTCTTATAAGCAACCTAGAAATAATTTTAGATTCCTCCAGCGAAAGCGAAGGCTCGGATGTAGAATCTGGAGACATTAAAAAATGTGAAATTAAAACTTAATTGAAGGCCTATCTTAAAGAAAAACAAGCTCATATCGATTGGTGGAAAACTAAACTAAAATACGACAAATTGTCAGATCTGGCCCGCAAATATTTGAACGCTCCATCCGCCAGCGTCCCAAGTACCATTTTTGGTCCTATTTTACTTCAAATGGCATTTATTTTTTCAATTCGGCACAAAATGCCAAAATGGCACTTTTATAAAAAAAAATAACAACTCAATATATTTTTATGAAATCCCTTGCGTGTAGTTACTTCTTTTTCTCAACTAAAATTTTCTAATTTATAGAGGCTATTCAACTGGTTTATCTTATTTTATCATTGCACTTTTGTTTAGAAAACGTGGTTCTTATTTTATTGCTAAATGGGAATGATTAAAAAGCTTATAAAAAGGCGCCTTTTTTTGCACTTTTTGTCACTTTTTTATCCTCAATATGACACCTAATAGCTAAGGATAGTTGGCAGCCCTGTCCAAGTGAGCGATTGCTCAGTGCAGTCGGCCTTATATACGAGCCTCAAAGAAATCGCCTCATGGAAGAAAAGGCAGCAAAATTACTCTTTTTTAAATATGATATGCCCGTTTTGAACTTTGACTACTAGACTAAAACACTATATAGGTTAAGTACTCGTTCAATGTTCTAATAATTTACAAAATTTTTAAATAATAAAAACGATGGCTTAAGTTGATTATAGCTTTTCTAATGTTATTCTTAGCATCGCATTCGTATTCCCACATTCGCATTGTGAAAAATATGACATTCGAAACATCCCTAGTACATATGTATAATCCGAGAAGGAATTTTTTAAGGTGATCTGATCTGCGTCGTAATTTTGCATAACGAAAATGGGATATCAAATTTAAAAGCTGGACCTGTAGATATTTTATTTTTTGAAATTAAGATATTTTTTTTAGCGGTGTATAGTGATTAGAAATTTCGTGAAATGAAAAACGGACATCGTGCGCGAGACCTCTCCTCAGTCGGAAACGGATGGATTGGATTAAATGAAACATTTGAAATATTTTGTTAATTATTTACTTATTTTATAGTCTATGAACAATATATTTTTACAGACCATGAGGAGGTTGAAATATATTTAATTTAAATGCTTAAATTAGGTAACTGAGTTTAAAATGTTCACAAAAGATGACTTTGGTAGCGAAAAATCGAGTTCGATAGTGTGTTTAATGGTCCTAAACAAGCGAGTTCCAACGTAAATTAAAATTCTTCCCATTTTGTACCACCAGAGAGAACAGTCTTTTCAGTTGTTGTTTGGTAATGACTACTTAGACGTGCATGCAATAAAAAAAATTGATTAGTTTGGTCGCAAAAAATAAAAAGATATAAAATAAACGCAAAATGCTTACTTTTTCAGCAATTTCGTCCCACTACGCTACAGCATCGAAAGCAAAATTCTGTTTCGACAGAGTATTCTCAACTAAAATTCCGAGAGGGGTGCATAGCTCATAACACGATACAAAGAAGCCAGCTCCAATGTTACTTTATAAAAACCAAAGTTCGTCAGTGTAGAATTTCTTCAAAAAACTAGTTTTTAAAAAACACTGAAACTTCTAAAAAATGTAGTAGTTATTTTTAAATTCTTTTTGGCGATTGGTGATTATTCTTCCGACTTTTGTACAACGCAAAATTCCGAAAGTATTATCACTCAATCTAAAAGCTACAAAATAAGCGTATGTTTTGAATAATACGTTCGCTGCTTTTCGGCTTCAGATTTGGACGTTGCAATTCCTACAGTTCTATTCAAAAATCTCTTCGGAAATTTTAATTTGGAAATAAGCGATAGTTTTACTCGTTGGACGATGGCATCTGGTAAGCCATTATTCATCTAACATTTATGGCTGAATAATCATAAGTATCGAAAATCCACAATGCAATTTCTATTTTGTAGCACTTACATAAGCTTGCACCGCTAGCAAAGTTGTCTCTACCGACTTGTTGCATATACTTCTGCGAGGTTCTTTACACTTTATTGATATCATTTCACGATGCGAAGGTAGAGAAATCCACGATATTGCTTTGTATGCCAATGACTCACATCCAGGCAGTATTTGGACATTTCTCAATAAGAAATTTAAGTCAAAATTGGTCAATCGCAAGCTACTAATTAAATCTGGTAGTTTTTGTTGCCGCCCAGAAGAATCGTACTCATACCACTGCTTCACAGCATGAAAGGCATCTTCCTCACAAGTCACATTTAAATTACAGCTTTCTATGATTGCCTGCAATTTTTCAGCATCAAAACTAAGAAACTCAGGGCATTGGCTTATCTGAAAACAAAAATTAAATATACAAAATGCATGTATGTTGCATGTGAAATTCATACTATGACACCGAGGAGAAAGCAAAAGGACTCACCTCCATAAAATTATTAATTTCATATTCCAAGAGTTTCTCATTCAGTGGTACACACCGAGTTTCACGCTGTAAGCAATATGCCCGCTGCAGTGTATACTCAGATATATGCTGCAAAATATAGTCAACACAACCGACAACCGCTTCATCCAACTTCAAATATATTGCTCCCTTCAGCATTACGTCCACATTTTCGATGGTTATGAGGGCCTTGCCGGTGTAGCAAAATGTTATCAAACGCTCAAAAGTGTCACTGTCAATGTTCGTTAATTCAATAACAGGATTAAAGCCCTTGTCACTTTTGAATAAATCTTTAAAATATGAACTTGCCGCTGAGAGTATCAAGCGGTGTGCTGGAATCCTGTGAGAAGGTAAATCATAATATCACATGACAATTGTTTTTATGTAAATCGATTAAAACTTACATAGCAATCGGATTAGACAACTTAAATGTTACATCTATGAGGTCCTGCTCATCGTAGAAGTCGCATATATTGTTCAGCAGTCTCTTGATGAAATGATTGAGGTACATGGCCATTCACACCTGGAAGTAGCTGACGGGTGCCATTGGTTGCCATTGCTATTGCAATTTCTATTGTTGATGGGTATTTATGCACTCGTATTTTGTTCGTTTGTGATTTGGCAGAACGCTTTGGATTTCCTAACCTGTTTACCAGAGTATAGGAATGATTTCAAATGCATATATTTGCGTAGAACTAAAATGTATATATCGCGCGTTTAATAATATAGAGAACTTATTTCAAATTTTTAACTTTGTTTTGATCAATTCTTACAGTATACAAAAGAGACAGATGGAAAGATGCTAATAAGCCCTATCCGCCAAAAAGACGTAATACATTTTTGGGAAGTCTGGTATACGTTAGATGAATATACTCTCCTTGTAACCGCCTAACCTAACCGCTGTAACCGCCTAAGCTATTTTGGCAGAGTTCGAGAAAAGCGCGCTAGTCGTTTCTCTTCTGTGCCAACTGATGCCAATTGGAGATGCCAAGTGAAGGCAAGTCCTTCTCCACTTGGTCTTTCCATCGCAGTAAGGGCCTCCGTCTTCCTCTACTGCCACCAGCGTGTTCCGAGTTGAATACTTTCAGAGCTGGAGTGCCGGTTTTCATTGGCCAAGCCAACGGAGCCGCTGTATTTTAATTCGCTGCACCATGTTCATGTCGTCGTAAGACTCATTCAGCTCATCGTTCCAACGTCTGACGTGTGTCAAGTTAGCACTACACTTTTCGAAATTGGAAAAGTTAACTACGGCATTAATTGTAGTGTTTTTGTTGTAAATTTGTTGTGGAAAGAAAAAATTTGAAGCTTTCGTTTTTCTGGAAAAAATTGAGTTGACCCTTTTTCGAACAAAATTTAGTATGTAGTGCTAACTTGAAACCATACACCTAGTCGATAGAATTGAGATATTGAAAATATTATAACGGCATTAATTGCAGTGTACGAAAATAAACTATATTGTACGTTACTATTTCGTTTCGTTTATTACTTCAACAGTTCGGTACAATACGAAAACAAAACGGCTGAGTTCACTTTGCGATAGTACACTTCAGTAGTTTAGTAGTTACAGACGAAACAACAAACGGAATGAATCGTACTGAGAAAAATATATGTATGTACAGTCAGTCAATAAAGTTTAGGTACAGCGAATTTTTTACAATACGGGCAACTATTTTTTAAATATTTTATTTTTCGATAATTTTTTATAAAAATATGGTCAATTCTACAACAAAAAACCCAAAAATCAGGGTTCCGAACCTTATGCAAAATTAAAGAAAATTCCGCAAAATTTCATTCAAATATTGCACTTTTTATTTACGCTCTCTAGAAAGAGCCCATTCAATTTTAGTATAACAAAGTGCAAGTTTGTGGTGGCTAGGACTTCCAATTGATTTTTAGGAATTTTTGATAAAAAACTGCATACTCAAATTTTTTCTAGAGAGCGTAAATAAAAAGTGCAATATTTGAATGAAATTTTGCAGAATTTTCTTTAATTTTGCACAAGGTTTGGAACTTTTCTTTTTGGGGTTTTTGTTGTAGAATTGACCATATTTTTATAAAAAATTATCGAAAAAAAATTAAAAAAATAGTTGCCCGTATTGTAAAAAATTCGCTGTACCTAAACTTTATTGACTGACTGTACATACATATATTTTTCTCAGTACGATTCATTCCGTTTGTTGTTTCGTCTGTAACTACTGAAGTGTACTATCGCAAAGTGAACTCAGCCGTTTTGTATTCGTATTGTACCTAACTGTTGAAGTAATAAAAGAAACGAAATAGTAACGTACAATATAGTTTATTTTCGTACACTGCAATTAATGCCGTTATAACATTTTCAATATCTCAATTCTATCGACTAGGTGTATGGTGTCAAGTTAGCACTACATACCATTTTTTCTTAAAAACGAAAGCTACAAATTTTTTCTTTCCACAACAAAATAGCTACAATTAATGCCGTTGTAACATTTTCAATATCTCAATTCTGTCGTCAATGGTGCATGGTGTCAAGTTAGCACTACATACTAGATTTTGTTCGAAAAAGGGTCAATTCAATTTTTTCAGAAAAACGAAAGCTACAAATTTTTTCTTTCCACAACAAATTTTAAAGTTAAAAGCTACAATTAATGGCATGGTAACATATTCGATATCTCAATTCTATCGACTAGGTGTATGGTGTCACGTTAGCATTACATACCATTTTTTCTTAAAAAACGAATGCTACAAATTTTTTCTTTCCACAACAAATTTACAACAAAATAGCTACAATTAATGCCGTTGTAACATTTTCAATATCTCAATTCTGTCGTCAATGGTGCATGGTGTCAAGTTAGCACTACATACTAGATTTTGTTCTAAAAAGGGTCAATTCAATTTTTTCCAGAAAAACGAAAGCTACAAATTTTTTCTTTCCACAACAAATTTTAAAGTTAAAAGCTACAATTAATGGCATAGTAACATATTCGATATCTCAATTCTATCGACTAGGTGTATGGTGTCAAGTTAGCACTACATACCATTTTTTCTTAAAAAACGAGAGCTACAAATTTTTTCTTTCCACAACAAATTTACAACAAAAACACTACAATTAATGCCGTAGTTAACTTTTCCAAATTCGAAAAGTGTAGTGCTAACTTGACACACGTCAACGTCTGCGGTTCTCTCCAATACGCCAACAGCCGCCTCATCGGATGTTGTCATTGTCCACGCTTCTGTGCCATATACCAGCAGGGGCATGCGTGACTTATGCGAGTGTGATTTTCGCGCGCCGAGCGAGGACTTTACTTCTGAATTGCCTACTCATTCTAATGTAGCACTTGTTGAGAAGAGTGATTCTGCGTTGGCTTCCCATGCCGACATTATTACCGTAGTTATTGATGGTTCCCAAGTAAATGAAATTCTCTACTTTCTCCAAATTATAACTGGAACGGGGAATGGCCGCTACAACAACAACGCGGGTGCCAAGGTGCGAATGCACCGACTGTTCTTTTGATGACATGAGATACTTCGTCTTGTCCTCGTTTATCACCAACCCAATCGCTTTGCTTCCTTGCGCGCTCATAGTATATTCTCCTTAGCAAACTTATGTTGTATGAGGAAATAATAAAAAAGGTAAAATTTGAATTACTTCTCCATATTATTAAACGTGAATATATATTCCGTGAAAGATAAATTCATACACCTTCCTACCCACAAAACAATGAAAAGGTTAAAAACTTCTGGCAAAGTATAAACTCTGGATTTCTTTCGCAAACTTTTACTGCACGAAAATTGCAATTCAATGCACAATTAATCCACACGATCAAAAGTTTCAAATTTTGGCTGCAACTTTTAAATACGATTATAGAGAATTCGTTTCGATTTACATTAAAGATCGAGTTTCATCGATTTTACCGCCACGTTCGATTGAAGTGGCAATGTAAATAAACCGATATGCATAATAATGTTATGATTCCATCACAACGAAATGCGTTGTTTTTATGACGTAATGATCATTTTGGTTCCATGGCTGTTCAATGTTATTATTAGGGAAGACAAAAGGGAAATGTTTAGTTATTGGCCCATCGTTTTTGGGGTGGGGGGCGGAGGGGGAGGGGCGTGGCCCCCCAAACTCCCCTCATTCGAAAGGGGGCAGTCGCCACTTTACGAAAAGCCCCACCCCGGTGTAGTGGTTAGCAGCGCGTGCTACCATTCCGCAGGGCCTGCAGTAAAACCCGATTCAACCCAACATCAAAAATTAAAAACGAAAAACTTTCTAAAAGCGGTCGCTTCTCGGCAGGCAATGGCAAACCTCCGAGTGTATTTCTGCCATGAAAAACAGCTTCTCATAGAAATACAACCGCCGTTCTGCGTCGACGTAAAACTGTAGGTCCCTCCCCTTTGTGTGACAACATCAAGGCGCACCCGACAAATCGGACGAGAAACTCGGCCAAACACTAACATATGTGTAAGCGCCAATATATTATTAGCCGTCATCGATTCGCTACTTCTCGCTCGCTATGTTTGAGTTCCGGTCGCTTAAAGAAGAATTTTGCATGTGAAAGCAACAACAAAATTAGCTAGCACGGATAGACGATAGCGAGTTTGGTTGTACCTCATTGAGTTCGTTCGTTTCGCCACTCGCTAACTGTTGGCGAATCGATTACGGCTATTATTATTAATGCAGTAAATTAAAACCAAAATTTATTGGAAATACTGCGACCACGGGTCTGTGTAGAATAACGTAAAACCATTTTGGTGTACAAAAATCAATATTTGCTCTAAGCAAAACTAATTTCTCGATTACTGTAATCGTAATCATGAATTGCATGATTGCGATTACTTTAATTGTAATCCTAAAAATTTAACTGTAATTGCAATCCTTATTTTAATGATTACAATCATGATTAGAATAACGATTACTGCAATCGTATTCATAAAAAGTACGATTACCATTATAGTTGTAATCGTTATATTTTAAGGATTACAATTAAAGTACTTATTATCAATAAAGCATGTTGTAATTACAATTACAGTAATCGTAATCCTAAGTAATCGGTCATCGTAACTGTATGTGTATATGTACGGTGACCATCCGTCCTGTATTATACGGGACAGTTCTCTTTTTTGACCCATTGTCCTGGTAATTTATTTATTTTATACGGGGAGCCAAATGTTCTGCACTTCTTTAATGTCCTGTATTTGTCCCGTATTCGGCGTTTCGACGCTTTAACAGCTCATTAAAATGGCACGCCTATGAAGGAGTTTTAAGTGATGTTAGTATATGATCGTAGTATTCTCCATAAACAGTTATTATTTTCTAATCTGAATGCCTGCGACTAATCGAGGAATACATATGTACAGTGACCAAAATATAAATTAGGACTCGACATTTTAGTAAGTTTTGGCTATTTTTCCTTAGTTTATTTAATGTTTATTATTTATTTTATGAAATTAAAGCTATTTTCCTAACAAAAACCAAATACCAAATTTCCAAATTTGTACAAAAAACTATGTATTAATTCTGCAATGTTTTACCAAAATTTCAAACTTTTTAATTAAAATTTAATTAAAAAAAAAATTGGTTTGCAGTTTTGTAACTCATTGAAATTGAGTATAATAAAGTGCGAGTGGAAGTGCTGCAAGTGAAGTTGCTTCTCTTTCAATAAAATGGTCGAACATACTTACTTTGTATGGAAAAAATGCGTAACACCGTCAACAAAAAAAAAATCAAAATAATAATGGTAAGCCTTAGCGACTTAAAATTGCACTTTATTATACTAAAATTTAACGAATTTTTTTAACAAATTTTACGGGGTAAAAATCTCGAGTAAATTATTCTACAAACTTGTGATGTTACTAAAATGATACTGTTTCAGGGCTAATACATCTAGGATCATTGAAGAAGGCTTTAAGATCTGTAAGCTGTTGTGGAAAAAATTTGCAAAATTATTTTTTGTCCCGTATTCGGCTCTCATAAATATACTCACCGTATGTACGTAAATGTCATCCTAAAAGTATATTTACATATAAATATAATCTCAATCAAAGCTCGTTTGTTAATCACCCCGTTTACACAGGTAAATCTCAAATTTGTTGTGCTTGTTATTATCACATCCCAAGGAAAAGTTAAGTTTCTTCTCTGTGCCACCGTGATCATTATTTTCTGCCATATAAAGCAATTTAAATATATTTTAACTTACCTTAAAAAACCTCTTTTCCTTGCTAGCGTCCATTTTTGTTTACTTTTTCATTTGGCATTTCTCCTCTTCTTTGCAAAAAACTATGTGGAACGCCGAAAACTGAGATTATTTTATAATTACTGATTAACGGGGGACGAATTTTGTACGGCTAATCTCTTTCTAATTACAGATTTGGCAGTTAAACTCGAGGATAATCTACTTATATGTAAACCTAGTACAAGTTTTCGTAAACAAATTAAAAAGATTGTTGACTCTCACAAAATGAAACATCACCTCCCAAAAAAAAAAAAATATTTTAAAAACAGTTCTTGAAAAACGCCTTTTTAAATGGTTTTTATAGAGAATTAATCAGAGGCCGCGATTATGACTTTAATTCCAAAATTTACTGGTCTTCACTATGTAAATCCACTTCAAAATTGTCAACTGTTTATAGCTTTAAAACTGTCATGACCATCTTTTATATAGAAATATTAAGCCTGTTTCTTTGGCTTTAAAACGACGTTAATTTGAAGTTTCTACGATGAGTATAACCCGAGATATAACGATTTGAAGAAATACATGATTTTTATTTATTTATTTATTTTTTACGGCTCTTTTGAACCTAGATCATAACAATATTTAATTATAAACTTAACCTAGTATTTAAAAATGCAATACTTAAGCCTAATGGGACTATTTGTAAGAGAATTCATTTATATATATACATTTAAAATTTCACGCGACGAAAGTAAAGGGCAACGAATCACGAAAAAATTCAAACTTTAACAGATCATATCTCCGAAGAAAAAAATCCTCGAAAAGGTGTTAGCTTATTTCTTGTATAGAACCCATAAAAAAATTTGAGGCGAATCGGAGACATGACATAATTTTTTAGGAAATCCGTCTTATTTAAAAAAGAATGCCCGACATATTTTTATAATGACGTGCATTTTTTTGTAAGCGAGCGACAAAAGAACGCTCAACTCGGGTAAAATTTCCTTTTATCTACTTAAGCAACCCTGCTGATAGCTGGCAAGAAACATGTGATTAGTTTAACGGTATTTTGATACAAAAACCTATTTAAATGAGTAATTATGCGAGGTGTTTGCGTAATATATATACTTATTTAAAATGTAAATCATGTTTATACGAAAACAAAAATTTCCCTCTCCACTTTCCCATTAACAATTCACAATAGAGCAGTTTTTTCTCTTAACAACACTACTCTTGGCTGAATTTGGATAAATAGCAGAGTTTGTATTGTTGCTTTACGTGTATTTCGTCATTTAAGCGAGTGTCCTTTTGTAGCTCGGTTGTAGAAGAATGCACCTATAGTCTCCTCCCCCTTGTCTGCACATTTGCGCCAAAATATGAATTTCTTCAGCAAAATTTTCCCTAGAAAGTCTACAACTATGCAGCTAAATACTTCTTAAATTTTCATATTTTTCATTCACTTTGAAGTAGAACTTTGGGCACAACATAACAGCTATATCGACCAGCTTCAGGTACTGACTTCTTTCTGACCCATTTATTACATTCTGGATAG